CAAAAGGAGTTATCACATTGCACTTTGATGAATGTTTACTCAAGAATCTGTGGCCATAGTTGAAGTAGACCAATAGAGCATGATTGGTTTACTTGAGAGCTAAGACATTAAGAAATTAAAAAAAAAAAAACACTTGTGTGAACATAATCAAACGGACAATAAACCAAGTTTGAGATCACACTATAATAAATTGGCATGAGGATTGAATTGTATAAAAACTATACTCATGAAAGGTAATTGCGAATTAATTAATCTTTCTAGAGAATTAGATAGTCATGATGTCTCACTAGAGGCCAATCTTGATTTATATATCGAGAGATAAAAAAATATTTTTTAAATCATTTTAACCTTATCCTAATCGACTTCAATAACAACGGGTAGCATACATTTTGTATATTATAATGTTTAAAGAATAAAAAAATGGAAATGATAAGAAAATTATTCAGCCGTGAAGACCGAAGGTGCTTCTTCATCGAACCAATTATGTAACTCTTCTCCCTTGGTGAACTTACGTATGAGCTGATCTAGATCAAAGGTGTCTCCCAATATATTAACTATGAGTAGAGGCAAAACAGCTTGTACTTGCACATGCTAAGGTTGGCGTTAGGCTGGAGAAACTAGCCTCAATCATCAATTTCTTTATATCTTAGAGTGTTCACTACCATGTCTTTGAATAGGCTGATCCGGACTCAAATCCTCATCATTTACGTGAGCTATATACGAAGGCTTTGGAAATGTGACACAAATATGAGGAATATCGATCTTTTCATCATTCGGGTCACGTCCCTCAATACGAGCCATCTCTTTTCTCACTTCGTTCGCCATCCTCCGGTAGTCTTTCCTAGATGGCTTAAAGCCTAACTCTGAAAGGGTGGTCTTCATATCTCAACTTCATATGAAACCTTACCTCCGATGGGTCACCTCTCACCTCAAATAGATGTGTCTCACACTTTATCATGTACTTAGTTGACATCTTCATAGCTTATGATAGTTTGGGTCTTCGTTATATGAATTCTCCAGGACCGGTTCAGCATTGACCACCTCAAAGGCATGTAAATCCCCATCACATGCCCCCTCTATCTCAATATATGGGATTGATACGTTCTAAACCACCATCATTGCCTTATTGAACTTTATAGTAACTAGCCTCCCATCGGCTATGTATTTTAATCGTTGGTGCAACGAAGATGTAATTACATCGGCATAATGAATCCAAAGCCTTCCTAACAACATGTTATAGGTAGGTTGGATATCGATTACTTACATGATAGTCTAAAACCGATGAGGCTCAATGCCAATATCCACATCTATATCACTAATAACCTTTCGAGGTGTACCGTCATATGCTCATGCCATCATCTTACTCGACCTCATATAAGAAGAATCAATTAGTAAATGATCTAACACATATTTGGGCAACACATTGAGTGCAAATCATTGTCAATAAGCACCTTCGTTATCGTATAGTCATTACACTTAACGATAATATACGGGGTTTTATTATGTCTAGTGCCCTCAAGTCCTAACTCATCTTTTGTTAAATACAAATAGTTGATAGCACGTACTTTTCCCACTAAGTGTTCCATCGACTCGGAGGTCATGTCTTGTGAAACGTATACCTCATTTAGAACCTTCGAAGTGCTTTGTAATGAGGCTCTAAATGGAGTATTAATGCCAATAAAGAGATACGAGCGAGGGTCTTTTTAGTTGCTCTACCACACTATACTCGTTGTGTTTCATTAATTTCAAGAATTCCACTATCGCTTCCTTATTCATAAGCTTGCTTACTATAGCCTTCGAGGAGCAATCTCGACCTCTTTACCCTTTGTTTCCTTCAATTCTTCTAGGGTAAAGCATCTCCCTGAGCGTATAACTCCTCCTATATCTACTATCCCATCGAATAGATCTTCATCATAGCACTTGATCCACTAATCGGAGGAGAACACCCATAATCTTGAGAATTGGCATTCATAGGAGTAGGAACCTTCAAGATTAGCTTCATAGGATTGGTTCTATTGACCTCATATCCGACTAATTCTAATTTCTTACTTTCAAAATTCAAAGCCAAAGTGCTCACCAAAGGCTCTCTCCTTATTCTCTATCCTCAAGCTCTCCAAAGCCAACATGGTCCGGACTTCTTAGTGAAACTCATGACAATTATCAACATCATGCCCCCTCACTTCATGGAATTTACAAATTACTCAACATGGGTGGCAACCTAAGACGTGACAAGCCTCTTGTCAAAACCATTAGCCTCAAACATGTCAAACAGTCTAGACATATATATTTTCAAAGCTGATCTTCTTTTATCATATTCCACATCCCCTATTGATAGCATGTTTACCCCTCCTATAGCATGATTTAGTAGAGGGTTAGAGTTGGTATTTGAGGCATTTAGGCAATCCTCGAATGCTATCAAGCCTTGATTGATCAAACTTCGTACCCTCGTTTTAAAGCTCATATAGTTTTCAATATTGTGACTATTGGCACCATTGTGGTAGTCATAAAATTCATTAGGTTTATACTAATGGGGGAATGATAGCTAAAGTGGTGGGAGTGTCATAAGGGCTATTTGGCCGATGGCTATAAGATATTTGAAAAGATCACTAAGGGATATAGGAAGAGGTGGCAATATGTCATTAAATTACGCCACTAGCAATGTTTCTTAGGAAGTTTTCATTTCGTGGTCTTTGTTGGTTTGCAAACGGTTGTGGGTTTTGGTAGTGTATTTGAGGTCGACGTTGGGGTAGAGCATGTGTTTGAGTAGTTTGGTAATAGTTATGTAGTATTTGATATGGTGAAAAGGTTGGTGTTTGGGTTGTTAGTCCGACCATATTGGTTAGAAAAGTGCTTGTAGGATTACAAACTAGGTGTTCGGGTTAGGTATATTATTATGGGAGATGAATTGGTTGTCATTCCCCCACGAGTTATTCCATCTTCCTTTATAATTGACAAAAGACTCCTTAATCTGGTGCACCTCCGAGTCTCTCATCTTGCCAAAGCTATTTTTCTTATGTCTAGATTTTGAAGGGTCGGCTATCCTTCTTGACTTGATAACTTGTTCAATTTTATCGGCTATAGATATTATTTAAATGAAATTATTTGACCCGTTACTCAATAAATAATCTTAGTATGGAGTTGTGAAAGTGTTAACAAAAAGGGTAATCAATTCTCTCTCCGGAAGGAGTGAACAAATACGAGATGCTATTTCTCATCATCTTTGAGCATACTCCCTAACCGATTCTTTCGAGCCTTTTTCCATAGACTATAAGTTAGACCTATCGGGCATTATCTCTAAGTTAAAATTGTATGGCCTTATTAACACATCCATCAAATCCTTCTACTTTTGGATCTTGGTCTAATCTAGGTCAATAAACTAGTTGAGTGTAGACCGATCGAAGCTCTCGGGAAAGATGTGGATTAGTAGTTTTTCATTATATGCCACCTTAGCTATTTTATTCAAATAAATCTTTAAGTGGGTCCTAGGGCACTAGCTCCCGGTGTATTTGGTAAACTCGGACACCTTGAACTTCTTAGGAATCATCACATTCGACATTAGACATTTATCAATATTGAGAAGTGTATCATATATGTCTACACCTTCGATATTTCTTAAATGCTCCTCGATAGCTGTGAGCTTCTCCATTTCTAATCCTAAGGCTATCTTCTCTTTGGCCAACTCTTCGGTGACTAAATCGGAGGTGGTCGTCATTGATGCTTGGCTAGCCCGAGGCAACACCAAGATAGGGCTCGAAGGAGGAGAGGTAAAATCATATGCACCTTTTGGCATCCGATGGTTGGCATGATTATAAGCACCGGTAGGCTCCACATGGGGCATGCTAAATGACGGTGTTGGAATAGTAGTTTAAGTGATCGGCGGTGCCATGGTAGTGAACACTTCGGGATGTCGATGGCTGGTTGACTTCTCTTCGAATAGTGGCTTCTAGTACCATGCAATTTTACCGAGTTTGTTCCAATAGAGTAGCAAACATAGCAATCTCTTCTTTTAGCATCGTCACCTCCCTCTAGTGATTTTGCTTTAGTAGAGCTCTTTCTTCGTTCTCCATCCTCTTCCTTGCCTAGTGTGGTGAATGTGCAAGGGAAGTGTAGTTTTGGCGGATCGATCTATGTTTCTAGTCAAGCAAAAGACAACAATAAAATATAAATAATAGGTTAAAGACAAAATGACATTCGAGACTAGATATGGAATAACCTTCACTTAGAGGGTGATAAAAGGACTTTGTTGATGGCTTAAGACTCGTTTCAAATTGGTTTAAGGGTGAACGATGGTTTCACTAGTAACCATTGAGATTTCCACTAAAGCTTGTACTTTATGGTCGATCGGTTTAGAGAAAATATCTCATCAATAACCCTTTACCTTGTTTTCCTCAAAAGTGAATCCCATTCGAGAGGGAAACAATCTCATCATAGAAGTCCTTAAACTTAAGGAAATCAATCTCTTGTAGATGTTCCGTTTGAAATAAGTAATTTCTCATCTAAGGATCGGAGGCATTCGGGCAATGATCAGCAAATTCAATGACCTTGTTATCATTAAAAGTGTTCTCAACGGATTGTCATATCTTTTGAGAGGAAAAAAATATCATCCATAAGAAAATGCCATAAATTTTATTAATCAAAAATGGAAAATCCGAGTGAAATTTATTCCGTTCATGGTACATGTAGAAAACAATAAATTTCCCCAAAAGAGAGAATTATAGGAAAACATCCAAGCCATGCATCACACTACTCTTCCTCATCCGGCCACCTCAAACAACAAGTCATTACATCTCTTTAAATATATCATGAATGACTGATGGGCGTTATGTATCGACCCCTCATAAACCTCTCTACTTAAATCTCACGGAGCTATCGCCTCTCAAGAAACCACATTAGCTTGATTAGTCATCCCGATTAGACTTCATCCCGATTAGACTTTGATTATGTTTATTACGTATCCGTAATAGGTGGTTATGCATGTTGGACCAATATACGAATTGTACGTGTCTGGTTTGACTCCAACTATCGATTGCCCTTTCTAGTGACGTAATCCTCTTTTGAGCCTTTTCAAGTTGCTCCGCCAACTCGTTTCTTGTTGTTACATTCCTCATCAATAGATTTTACCAAATCAACATTCTTCTTCGAAGCTCTTTTACCTTAGTTTTCCTAACACCTAACTCATAGTTAACTTGATCAAATTATCGTTCTAGCTCATTAAAGTTGAGGGATTTCGAGGATAACTCTATTTGGAATTAGCTAAAAAAGATCTTCCAGTTATCCACTTCGATTGCTATGTCCTGCCATGCTTAAAGCTCGCCTCCACTTCCCTCACCTTACTCAACCCTTTTCCTTTTCTTCTTTTCCTCGGCTAACTCATTCGCTATCTTTAGTTTTTTGGCTTTTATATGCTCAACTCCTCTTTCATTTCATATTCAATAGACTTGGCTTCCATAGTGTCATTTTCTCGCTCTTCTTCGTTCCCAAGAGTTTGGCCTCGAATTTCCTCGGAGGTGTCATGGTTTGATGAAACCATCGATGGCGTATACTAGGTTGAACCGGGTAGCCCGAAACTTGTAATTTTTTACCTTTGTGATTGCAAATAGGATACTTTGGGGCGATAGTTGTCTCTCGACTAGTTATTTTCCGATATACCATTCTAGCACCGACCACTTTTCTTTAATGACCTCTAAGAATTCAAGCAAGGCATTGCTCTTTAAGCTATCTTCAAACTCGATAACACCCTTTGTCCTTGGTACGCATTGGTCATAACCCAACTAGCGAGACACCATAGTGGGTGCATAGCTCATGTAACTTATCCCCCCAATAAGAGGAACCTATGGGTATTTTCCATAATAAGCCGGATAGGAAGTCCGATTCATCCATACTACCATCCACGGAATTATGGTGGTTGGCATCTCAAGGAGCACGATAATCGATCTATGCTCGATTGGTTTTTCCAAATTACAACGACAACCTCTTTCAATGGTTCTTGATCTATCCACCATGATGACTTGAAGATGGACTTGTGGACCTCTATATGACTGATAATCCAAACAAAGAGCAATTGTACATAACCCCTCACAGCACCTTTACTCATTTTGCGACAATGGTTTAAAGACGGGATGGTTTCGCTAATACTGCTGCAGTAGGTTTCACATTATTTTTTTCATTCTCTATGAACACATTGGCTACATCCCGATCGAGGGAAATAGTATTAGCCCGAAGATGTTGAGGGCTAGGATTCTAATCCTTTTAGAATTGTCTCTTGGATCCTTCAAGCTCCACTCGAATGCTTGGTGCCATGTTTCCCAATACCACCCTTCTATTGTGTGCTTTACCAATCCGTGGGCTGCATTCTCATTCAATCAAGTTTGAACCCTATTGACAACCTCATCATGGTGACGGTATAGGTATACTTAAAATGGGGAATTTGGCATCCGGAGCATCCGGTGATACTCTTCAAGAATGGGGTCATATCAACACTTTCGAGAGTAAAACATCAATAAAAGAGGTCCCATAACTGGATTAGCACCTTGATTGCTAAATTCCAAATAGGGATCTTAAGTAGAGTAGCCAAATTTTCATATTTAACCCTTAACTTTTGTCCATCTATGGGTACCAATCGATTTCAACATTCTAAGAACTTGGATGGATCATTGATGACTGTCCGGATGTGCCACATCTTAGAGGTTACTCTAAAACCCTTATGCCAAACAATCACCTTCCTTCAATTAAAAAGTCTCGGACTCATTCCGGTATTCAAAAGCCATCTTGAAATACATACTAGTCCTTTTATCACCTATCATGAAACATTGTGACCAAATTATTTCGATCAAGATTTCGTTAAAGTTTGACTTGCCCATGACATTTACGATGTAAGACCTTAGGGTTCGGTTCTAAGTCATTACATTAATAGGACAAGCTCTATCTAAGTCTCACAAGAATCCCTTTCAGCTCGACAAGTCATAATAGAATCATTAGGGCGACTAAAGACGAGTGATTGGTAAGCATGAAAAATCATCGATTACCCATCGCTCATTAGCAACTAGCAAGAAGAGTTAAGATTTCATGAGTGTTTACCCGAGGCGAAACCGATCGAGGCACCACTACTACCTACCTAAGTCCTAAGGCAAGTATGTGATAATCATATGAAATAAAGGTGAGTGTAGCCAATTCATGGACATTATTCCATATCTAATCTCAAAAATGAAATAAAAATAAAGATACAAACGAGAGATGCAAAAAAAAAAAAAAAAATCAAAAATCAAAAAGAAAAATAAAGATCAAAATAAAAAATTAATAAAAATCATAAACAAATAAATAAAATGAAATGAAAATTCAAGGCGAACAATAAAACAAAGGCACGATTTTAAACATGATAGGAAAATTACAAAAATAGGCTAACAAGGATAAAAAATGTCGTCATAACATAAGAAATCAAACTCAAAATTACATGTAAAGCCTAACCCTAAGTATGGTCCCTAGTGGAGTCGTCATTCGTCATTTGGGTGAAGTGGGCGACAATGTGAAAATAAAAAATGATTGGAGTCGCCACCTAGTCTATAGTTACTAGGAAACCTCATGATCGGTCTATTTAGAGTTTCGGGTAAAGGGCTTGTTATGTGTAGGGAAGATCAAAAGTCACCCTACCCCGTCCCGCTTAAGGCAAGCTACATTGCATACAAAATTAATTCAATTTTTTATTTTCTTAAATAAAAACATTCCCCCTTATACGAGCGATTTGGGACTTGATCGATCGGGGATCTCGTCCTTACTTTGTAATGGATGTCTAGAAATGATGATGTAAGGACGAAAGAACGAGATAAAGTTAAATGGATAAAAATTGAAAAATAGAGAAAAATAGGCATACTTGGCTATGTGGGTAAACAGACAAATAATGATAAAATTGGCTAAATCAATAAAAATCAATGCTTAGGCAAAAAAATGGCAATTAAGCAAAAAAATTAACAATTTTATGCAAACATAGGCAAAAGTCGACGATTTAGACAATCATAGGCGGAATCAAGAACTTAATCAAACAAATAATAAAATTTAATAACTTAAGCAATCATAGGCAAAAATCGGCAATTAAGGCACAAACAAATGAAAATCGGTAATTTAGGCAATCATAGGCAAAAATTAACGATTTAGGAAAAAATGAATGAAAATCAAAAATTTAGGCGATCATAGGCAAAAATTGATAATTTAGGCAAAATAACTTGAAAATCAATAATTTGTGAGATCATAGGCGAAAATTGGTGTTTTAGGCAAAAAGAAGTAAAAATTGGCAATTTAGGTAGTCATAGGCAAAAAACAAAATTGACAACTTAGGTTAATATGGGCGAGAAATCAACAAACTTAAGCACATGTAGGCAAAAATTAACGAGGGTTGGCAATTGGATTGAAATTGGAGAAAAAACACAAAAATCGACAAAGTTAGTTGCTTTAGTGTACTTAATTGATTATATTTGACGAAAACAGAGTTACAAAGCGAAGTCCAAACTTGTTTAATTCAACATAGTGCTTTTTAAAATAGAATTACCATACAATACACGCTTTTAAAAAATATATACATTCTACATGATTCACAAAAAATTACGTAATCAAGTAATACACGTTACCATAACTCAAATGAATTACATACGAACAACAGATTTAATTAATCATACAATACAATCAATTAATAATTACAGCAAATATGATATGAATAACGTATAATACATGTCAAAATAAAATAAATAATAAATAATAAAAAGTGAAAAAAAGATTACTTTAAACAAAACGAGCTAGACATATTTGCTTAAAGATCTCGAAGTTAGGTTCGATCTTTTCAACCCGATGGAGACCAATACTTAGTCAACTAGGGAGGAAAGATTACTGCCGGCGAGTTACTCGGTGTCCGGGGCGTGCTACTAGCGAGGGCGCTCGCCGGTGCACGAGCGTAGGTTGGTAGGGGGCATTGGCGTGCTAGGCAAGGTGCGTGCTATGGGCATGTTGCGCATTGAGGTGAACTGCGCTCCGGGGCATACTGCGGGTCGTGGGTGTCTTGCGCACTAGGGCATACTATGGACTATGGGTGTGTTGCGCCCTAAGGCGAAACGCGCACCGAGGTAAGGCGTGCACTATGGCATGATGCATATTGGGAAAAGGCATGCATTGGGGCAAGACGCATGTCGTTGGTGTGCTATGCACAAAGACGAGGCATGCGTTATGGGTGTGTTGCTGCTCGTTGTGCATTAGAGGCCGTTATTGGCGCTACGTGGGGCGAGGTAGGCTGCTAGCAAGGGCTACGTGGTGTGGAGAGAAGGGTCGAGGGTTATGACTAGTGCTATGTGGTCGAGGACGGAGGCGAGCTTAGTCATGAGGGGAAGGTCTGGAACGGGCAAGGCAAGCTTGGTGAGGCGGGCGGATATGGCTTTGGGATGAGGGGGCGGTGTGTTTGGAAGCTACGGCTAGGGTAATTTTTTAAAAAGGGTCAACGAGTAGCTAGTACTTTTGGGGGGGGAGGGGGAAGGGGTGTTTTTATACTACGTTTTTATGGTTTTTTCTTGGCTAAAATCTGTTTTGGTCCCTCACTTTGCAACCCATTTTATTTTGGTTCTCTTCTCCTTTCTTTTTAATTGCACCCTCAATTATATTTTTTTACTCCCTTTTCTTTTCCTTTTTCCTTTTTCTTTTTCATATATTCGTCTCTCATCCTCTTCTCTCTTTTTTGGCAAAATTGGGTGCTAACGAGGTTACAAAATGTTGTAACTATCCCATAAATTGATATACAAAAACTTCATAGATCTAAAAAGATTTATTAAGAGCCAAAAAGATATGTTCTTCTTCTCTCTACATATGGTGATGTGTCTCTTATAGAGGTTAACGAACCTAATAGCTATGAAGAGACAATGTTAGACATTGACTTTGAAAAATGGCATAAAGCCATGAAATCCATGTACATGAATCAAGCATGGACTTTATTTGATCCACTTAAAGGTTCGGGCCTATTGGGTGTAAGTGAGTCTTTAAGGAAAAGATTGACATGGATGGAAATGTATATATGTACAAAGCTAGACTAGTGGTGAAAGGCTATCATTAAAAATAAGGGTTTGATTATAACAAAACCCTTTCACCAGTACCTATGGTTAAATCCATTAGGATTATACTTGTAATTACTCGCATATATTTAACAATCTTTGAAATGGTTCGATCTATGATGAGTTGAACCGATATCCTTATTTCATTTTGGTGATATGAACTACCTATTACAATATTTATTTGGAATATGGTTTCAACAAAGTCTATTAATTAGACTCCATATGAGATATGGAAAGGAAAAAAGTAGATTTATCTTTTCATAAGATTTGAGGCTATAAAGCATTTGTCAAACATTTAGATAGAGACAAGCTAGAGCCTAAATAAATGAAGTGTAAATTTAGAGAATATCCAAAAAGACAAATGGATATTACTTTTACCAACAACAAGAACAAAAGGTTTTTGTTGCTAGGCATGTTGCATTCCTTAAGAAGAAATTTATAGATGCTTAAA